CTCTCTCTCTCTCTCTCTCTCTACTCCCCCAAGACAGATTTGCGCGCCTCGATAATGAGCCCCCCTCTTTAGCGATCAGCCGGCACTTAGGCCCCAAGCGCCACCCACCCCCAGCGGCACCGCCGCACCGGCCGGCGGGACGGTGCCTTGCGCATAATCTTTCTTTCATTATTTCTTCCGACAGTGTATTTGCGAGCACCTCTCCGACCCGCCGGCCCCCGTTTGCGAGGCCAACCCTGGGAATTAATCTTCCTGCTGCTGCTGGTGTTTCGGTGGGTCTGGTCTGCTGGCCGCCACAGAAATGCCACTTAGGCCCCACACAGCGGTGCGGTGCGCGCCTGCGAATAAACAAAGCGCCGTGTGATTAATCGCAGGGCACGGCGGGAGTTTCAAAACCGAGGAAATGATTGCAAATGTGCGCGGCCCGCGCCAAAGTACCCCCGCTACACCCTCTCCACCACCCCCAACCGACCAAAAGTTTGCCACTCAAACACACATAACGATTCCATTTCTACACCCTTTTTTTTCACCCCGCCCCGCCACACTTTTCCCGCGTATTTTAATCTACCGCGCGGACTGTTCTAACTTGTATTCGCGCGGGGTGTGGCGCGGAGGACGCAAAACGCCAAACGGAACGACGTCTGTATCTCACTCTCATCGGCCCGGCCCGTCACCCCACCCAGGACCGCTCCACTAACCAACGCCCCGCCCGCGGCCTAATCAATCACAGTGGTCAGCCGCCCCGCCCTGCCGCGCCCCACCCTGCCCCGCCCCGCGGTGGTGGTGTGGTGGTGTCGAGTAGCGGACGACTCGCCGCAGCAAGCTCCCGCCGCCCCGCCGCCGCCACGGCCGCCCCGCCACACCACCACCCTGTGATCGCACAGCCCTTATCTCTCACTGCCAACCGGAAGTGACCACTTCCGTTGAGGCGTGGTGGGTGGGTGTCGCTGGTGGTTCCAGTGGTGGTATGATTTCGCGCGCAGGGGAAACAAATAATCACCGCACACAGAGAAATTGCAATATGTGTTCACAGTGTTAAAATCCCACGAAGCAATACACACAAAATAAGTTACGCGGATAATTTCACTGGCTCCGTTTAAGTTATTTTCTTGCGTATTCAAAGAAAGTCACAGTCGTGGTATAGAGTAGACTCGAACACGGTGGGCACGTCCCCGGCGACAGTCTCTTTGGGTCTGCGGAAGCTGAGCGTGATAGTTTCTGTGGCTCCTGGTCGTGCGTAGGATAGGGAGAAGAGGGGGGGGGGGAGCACCGTGCCGAGTTAGCGCCGGGCTCGGCGAATCCGTTTGTGTGAGTAGCCACGTACTGTGCGCTGTGCGCATATATACTCTGGAGAGGGGTAAAAGGGGAGGGGGCAGGGGCCTTTGTGCGGCCGCCCTGCCCCGCCCTGCCCCGCCCCGCCCAGTTGGAGCG